CCATTTCTTACAGCGCAGCGTGCCAACAACAAGGTGGTGATCGGTTGATAGCTCTGCGCCTCTCTTAACGAGAACATCCATTACTGAGCGTCTTCGGTCGGACGATACGACCGTCAAATCAATCATCGACTTCTGTGCACAAGCTTCCCGGTACCGGGTATGCCGCTACTCACAAGAGACAATCCATTTTGTGGATAAACTGCAAAGAGTTCATGTCGTTATCACTCGAATCGTTGCTTCCAATCACGCCTTTCCACTATTCAGTGTCCGCTCTGACATGCGCATTAAAATCGTGAATTAGAATGAGGGATTCCGTAATTGGCCCATCCATCCATAGCTTCATCCAGAGCACACTCCACCATGCTGCTTTCTCATTCGTACTTGAGACCGGCAACGGGGCAGTTTTTCATAACAGTTGACCAGTAAGGATTTTTGATGAGTGGCCACCTCCGAGCCAGCTGGGTTCACGGAGATGTGTGTTAATGCGGATAACAAACGTAATTGGGCGGCTAGTGGATTTCTATAGACCGAGCAACTGGCATCGGCGTCGAACGTTCGGATAGGAGCGGATAATGGGACAATCGCGTTGCGGGCAGAAGTGATCTGGGCGGTTCGCTGAGATTCAGCAGCGGATACAGGCGAATCGAACGAACAATTGCTTTTGCTCTTCGAGCATCGTACACATGTCTCCTCTGCATCCGATGGTTCAAACGGGGGGATTCTTCTTTCGTATGATGCTTAGGAACATATCAGTCAAGTTCAACATTGAAGATGGGAAGAGACTGCAACTTGACGATGCTTCGTATGCGATACAACAGTTTGGTTTTTAGAGAGAAACGCTTCGTGATAAAATAGTCCATAGTTTCGTTATCTTCCTTATACTAGCTTTTAGGCGAGTTGCGGAATTTCCATTTGTACAGATGGTACGCATGTCGTTCACATGCTTTTCTTATACAGTTAATAGATGATCGACAGTAAGCTGACGAATTGTAGGCTTCTGGATCAGTTGCTTATTGGGAAATGCAGTTTTCATATTGCTTCCGTAATATTCGTCAAACTCTCGTTGGCAGTGAGCATGTCTTAGTTTGGCGAAACATTTTGTTACTGCGTCTTTGGTTTTAGCCGATATTCGCAGCCTGCTTCAGACAAAGGCAGAATGGTGTCAGGTGTAGAGGTTCGCCTGCAACTTCTAGATTTCTATTAGTTTCGCCGGAAGCCACGACATTGTAATTGTTCGGATCACGGAATCCAGCTGGATATCCACTTCATCTGTGTGTTCGTTCCTTGATAAAACTGGAGAACAGCAATCCAGTCCAGAAAAGCCAAGAGCGAGACCGGATATACAAGGGACGATACTTCAGAAATCCCAACTAATGCTAACGAGCACGG